GAAGAAGAAGAAGAAGAAGAAGAAGAAGAAGAAGAAGAAGAAGAAGAAGAAGAAGAAGAAAAGCAAAACCAAACTTAGGACCTGCCTGTATGCATAGGCTACCATAGCAAAATACCACAAGCTAGATGGTTTCAACAACAGACACTCATTTCCTCACAGTTTGGGAAGCCGGAAGTCCAAAATCAAAGGTGCTTTGCTTTCTGGTGAGGCTTCTCCTCCTGGCTTTTAGATGCCACCTCCTCTCTGTGTCCTCATGTGGCCTCTCCCCTGTGCATGCAGCAGAGAGAGACAACTCCAGTGTCTCCTCCTTCTAAGAGGCCCCATTCCAATTGGATTCCAGCCCCAACTTTATGATTTCATTTAACCTTAATTACCTTATTACAGAACCTATCTCCAAACAGTCACATTGAAGGCTGAGGATTCAACATATAAGTGGGTCAAGGGGGTAGAAAAGTCAGCCCACAGCACTGCCCACCTACCAACTCCTTACCTTCTCGGCTTAATCGTTTTTAATGAATCTTAATTGAATGTGAAGGAAGACAATACTCACTCTGTCTTAGGATGCCTAAAGCCTGGCACTGTGCCCAGTCTAGAAACCATATTAAAGAAATGCTTGTTGAATGGAACGGAATGGAACTCATTTCTCCATCATGGCCCCAGTCGTAGGTGAAGAACTTATCACCAGTCACCTGGGGTAATTCTTTCCTAAATGGTCTACAGGCCTCCAATTCCTACCCCTGCAGTCAGTTTCTTCCTAAAACAAAGGCTGGGTCCCATTTTTGTTTTCCCTCAAAGTCACGGTGATTTACCATTACCTAAGAGACTTAGCCTAAAAGTTGGTTGAACTTTTCAATAAATAATAAAAATATTTGCACATATACATACACAGGATGGAATATTATTCAATCACACGAGAATGAAATGCTATCATTCATGGCATTACGGACGGAACTGAAGGGCATCATATTAAGTAGAATTAGCTAGCCACACACCAGTGCTCTCATTTATAGGTGGAAGAAAAAAAAAAAGTTGATGTCAAATAAGTACTGAGTTGATTGTGTGGTACACAGCAGTAATATTGAAATATCGTGCTGTAGTATAAATACTCACCATCACTGTATGGCAATACCATGTGATATCTTAGGGTCTTATTTCTGTGAAAAGACACCATGACCATGGCAACTCTCATAAAGGACAACATTCAATTGGAGCTGGCTTACAGTGTCAGAGATTTAGTTCGTAATCATCATGGCAAGAAGCATGGCAGACAAGGTGCTAGAGAAGGAGCTGGGAATTCTACATCTTGATCTGAAAGGCAGTAGAAGGAGACTGTGTATGTATCTCACTGGGTGTAGCTTGAGCATATATAACCTCAAAGCCCACCTCCAGGGTGATACAACGTTCTCCAACAAGGCCATGCCTACTCTGACAAATCCACAACTCCTAATAGTGGCACTCCCTATGGCCAAGCATTCAAACACATGAGTCTCTGGCGGCCATACCTTTCCAAACCATTACACATGAGAAGTACTTGTTTATAAGTTTGTTGAGCTAAGGACTAGGGATGTAGCTCAGTTGGTAAAATACTTGGCCTAGCATGCAGGAGGCCCTGTATTTGATTCCTGGTACCACACAAGCCAAGTGGCTAACGCCTGTGATCTCAGTACTTAGAAGGTAGAGAATCAAAAATTCAAGTTCACCTTCAACTACCTGGCAAGTTTAAGACCAGCATGGAGTGTAGGAGACCCTGCCTCAAACAACAACAAAATTCCCACGAAGTTTATTAGGATATATAGTAAAAGGATGGCCCTTGCCGCTGTGTTACCAAGAATGGACTTCATACTTCTCCTTATTTTCCTCCCCCCTTCTCCACTTTACTTTCTTCTCTTCCTCTACTATCCTCTTCTTCTCCTCTTCCACTTCTTTCTTCTCTTCCTTTTCCTCCTCCCCCTTTTTACTCTACTTTCTTCTTTTCCTCCACCTCTTTTTTCTTCTCTTCCTCCTCCCCTTCTTTCTCTACTTCCATCTCCTCTTCCTCCAGTTCTTTCTTTCCCTCTTTTCTTCCCCCGACTTTTCTCCCTCCTCTCTGATCTCCCTTACAATCTTCTACTCGCTTCCTCTCTTT